CTAAACAAAAGAAAACAGTTTTAAACCAAAGCTGGTAGTAATGAGAATGCATAGGATACTACGATTAAAAAGAAAGATGAATGCAAAAAAGAACGATACCACTTGAAACTCAGGTAGCTTGGTTACTACTTAATTTGAAATAGATAATATTCAAAAAATACAGATAGAGGATAATACTTAATTGTCCGTTCTAGCTGACCCCAATGTAGATATGCAACATATACGCAAATAGTACAACAAATAGTTAATACAATTGAAAAAGGACCAATAAAAACTTTAAATTAACCTTAATTTTATAAAGAAAACTATTTATAAATCAACATACATAATAATAATTGAACTTTTAATTGGGTTAATAATTTCACCTGCAGAAAAAACCCTTCATGCGTTCACATTCTACTAATAAAAACGGTTGAATGTAATTTAGATCCTTTGACATAATTGTTTTATAACAAAGTGCGTGTGTTTAGGTGTTGTGTGCGTGCATACTTGTGAGTATGTCTGACGTCTATTTGTTTGTGGTTTCTTTATTGTTTTTCGTTTATAGTGTGACCTGTGATTTTCCTTATTGCCTTATCCTGAAATTTTATCTAATCGACCGCTGCTTTAGAGCGAGGAGCGATAATTAGTTCTCGGAAGTAAGACAGATACAGCCGGTTGCCCACAAGGGAGCATTCTTGGTCCCATCCTTTAAATCATTTATACTACAGACCTACACACCCTAATACTATCATCACCACCTACGCTGACCGTAATTTTTTCCTCTAACTCTTTTTCTCTCACACACTCCCCTTCATTTACTCTCTTTCACTCTTTTTTTCCCTGGACAGTCATTATTGCAGAAGTTATTAATACTGAATTACAGAAATTCAATCAACACCTTCAGAACGTATTGCTATTGTTATTAATATAATTAATGCTATTGATAAACGTTCAATCTGAAATACCGACTAACTTGAAAAATAAAAGGGGGAATTGGTAATCATTGCGATTGTACAATGCCACTCACTCTTTCGCACCTTCACCTTTTCTCTTTCTCACTCCTCTCTCATTCACTCACAATCACTCCCTCACTCACTCACTCACTCACTCACACTCACTCATTCACGGCATAGCACTCACTCACTCTCTCTCTCTCTCTCTCTTTCTCTCTCTCTCTCTCTCTCTCTCTCTCTCACACACACACACACACACACACACACACACACACACACACACACAATCTCCCTCTCTCTTTCTCTCTCTTTCTTTCTCATGGACAGTCATTATTGTCCTGCTTATTGCTGGCTGAAATTACAGAAATTTAATCAACACTCTGAACTTTTAAGAACTGAATTATACAATGTAAACAATTTAAGTTTATCAGTAGCCAAAATTGTCTTTTATACCCAATCACCAATTTAATTATGAATATAATAACAATTTTAAAATACTCAACATAAAATTTGTCTAATTTTTGTGATATTAAAATATTGTTCTGATGGATTTGCTTAAAGTGTGTAGAACAGCGAAAATAGACGGATCCAGTAAATATCCCTGATACCCATTGTGTATTTGGTGCTATGATTGGTATATTATTTGTTTAAACTCTTGTTTTCATTTATTAAAAAAATGTTTTTCGCCGTTATTTTTCTCTAGTTGGCATTTGTAAGGTGTATTACGTTAAAAATTTCTTTTTTTTCTCTCTTCCCCATTTTGCACATTTGTACCATGAAATGTGTCAGCTTTGTTGGGAATGGGGTCAATGTTTGAAGGAGGTGGAAATACCCGGCGGGTCGAGTGCGAAGGAGAGGGTCGGACAGAGGGGTAGGTTTGGCACGTGGTGGAGTTCAAGGCCACGTGGGTTTTGTGACGACACGTGTGGCGGAGGTGGGCAGGACAAACACCTCGACACACGTGTCTGCCTTTTTAATCGTGCACCGATTTCACCTCGTGGACTATTTTTCTCTTTCTCTATTTTCTACTCTGTCGTCCGATTTACAGGCTGATACTGTTCGACTTTCCCAACGTCCACTTAAGGTTTCGTACAAAAGACGGGTCAGCACGGGTGGTCTGACATTTAGCGGAGGATTATTTATTCATGTAGAAACAGGGAGATCTTACGACACTGCTGGCAACAGGGCAGGCACAGATGCAAATTAAAATTATCAGCATTGCAACAAACAAGTTCACTTTCTGCAAATAAGCTTTGAATATCAGACAAATACATCTATTATTCTCATACTGAAGTGGTACTCTATCCAAATTGTGAATACGGAAATATTAAAAAAAAGTTATTTATTATTTATCTTTTTACAACAAGGTAATAGTCACTTCTTCTTTATGTTTTTTCACTATTCTTCAATATTCTCCTCTGCATTTTTCGCATCAATATATGATTCATGCAAAAAACAAGCATAGTAAATGACGGGCTACCATGGTACCCCATATTCCGATCGTAGCCGATCATCATTCACACGAAAATCTACAGAATAAAACACCATGCATACATTCAACATTCTTCTCGCGATAAATACAATTATTAGTCCATCTTTCACACTAATATATATANATATATATACTATACTATTTACAATTAAAAACTTATAAGAGGCCTTGGGGGAACTCAATATTCCGCCAATGACCTCTTATAATTCACACCAATAACCAAAACGTAGGTAACAGTCCTTCGAGGTATTTGGATACTTCGCCGAGATGCCTGTTTTCATTCAAACTCATTCAGCCAACATTCTCGCTAATAAATACATTCATCCCTAGTTAATACATAAATTAGGTTACATGCATTCACCATTCTCAGATCAAATAGGTTTTCCCTACATTGGTGTTGTACTTAAAAATAAATTTTTTATTCATTTTTATTTTTGATATCTTCCACTCTACCCCAGAGTATACGATTTGGATAATTGGGGATAACCTTTGCCATTCACGCTAATAAATTACTTTCATACGCCACAATTCGTTCACACTACCACAAAGTACTCGATATTCCTCCGATATTCCTCGGGGTAATTGGGGATAAGACCCTTCATTCACAATAATTAATTACATTAACACATCCATTATTCCTACCCCTGAGTACTCGCTATTCCCCGGGGTAGTTTGGAGATAAGCCTCTCCATTCACGCAAATAAATACGTTCCAATCAATAAGACACATCGCATACATGAAGGTACAATGATCTATATTCATTTAAAAATATCTACGGCCCTGTGATATCGGATCTTGGGTTGAATTACTTCATCATCCTTGAGTTTCGGTAACCCGGAGAATATCGTCAGAACGGATTATCAACATTCCAGATTTGTTTATTCTCGCGATTGCCACCAGACGTTACTATATTTAAAAAAGCTGAGTTAGCAGAAAAATTGCGATATTTCTAGAAAGGAGATAGGATTTGTTTATAAAATGGTGACCTAGAGTCTCAAACACGTGCAGTTCGGATGGATTGCGCAATCCACGTGTCTCCCCCTCTGAGCTCGCTACACAAATGTACACTGGCCTATTTCCTTTTCCCCATTCACATGAGCGCATTTTTTCATCCTGCTCTTTCCCTTTCTCTCATCCCTTTTCCCCCTCGACCACGTGTTTCACCTGAATCCTTTAACTTTTATTCTCAAATTGGAAAACGACAAATTGACCTCCACTCTCGAGACTTAAGAAAGAAGTTTGCAATTTAAAATTTTTACAAAATCATCAACAAAAACAAATTACGCCAGATAGAGACTGGAATTGATCTCTGGTCAACGGAGGCCGGATCGAGAAGGAAAAAGGCTATAATTACCAGGTTACGCATAGGTCATACTAAGCTTACACATGGGCGCTTCCCGGTGGGAAAAAGACCCAGTCGATGTCCATTGTATACCGAAATATTAAGCGTTGTTCATATTTTACAATGCAGAAAACTAGAACCGGCATGATGCTTCACTACCTCAGGGGTATAAACGTTTTTAAATGTATATATATATATATATATATATATATATATATATGATTATGTGTTACGTTTTATGAGTTGTGTGTTATGTGTTGGTGGAAATTATTGGCATGGAAGAGAGGATTATCTTTCAGCCCGAGGAATATCGAGTCTGGGGTGAGAGTGTATTGTCTGGAGAGTGAAAGTAATTTATTAGCGTGAATGTAGGGTTTAAACCCGACCCGAAGAATATCGAGGACTCTGGGGGAGTGAGTGTAACCACACTTGTCTTTTTTTGGATAAGAAAACAGGAGACAAAATACGAGAGATTCAGTGAGAAAGAAAAAGTATAAAAACGTCGAACTTTCGCTTGAAGCGCAGTTGGTCTCAGTCGGCCCAACAAAATAACATACTCATATCTCTCTCATATTCGAATGGATCCTAGGGTAGTACATAACGTATGTATCAATCGCAAGAAGATAGTGGAGTATAATTTCCATTAATTTTATTCAACGGGAAGTAATCGCGTTTAATGAGGACGAAAATAAAAGCGCAACTAAGCGAACGTACACGTGTCTGATACGCGCAGGCTAGCCATTATCTAAGCTCAGCAAATGGAACTGATGTCCATTTAAAATTTCACAACTTTAGCACACTTCCTCATTTATTCATTTCAAAAATATAATCGACATGTTTGACAAATTGACACAGTAATTATTAATAAGGAGGAAGGTTAATTGCAATAGAAAACTCTGATAGTACCAAAATAAAACTATTGCTTAACTGTGTCGTTAATACTAAGGAAAATTTTCTGTTTTTACTCGATTACCCGAAAGGTGAAATCAATGTAAACCTAAATCATTACAGATTATGATAATTTTAAAAACCAGACTAAACTTAGAAATGGGACGATTTGACACAATAGAAGTTTTCAGTTTCAACACCCAGGTCTTTAAGTTAGAAATTTTTTGTAAATGACAAAGTATATTTTTAAAATATACTTATTTCATGTTGTGATTATGCCAATTTAATCAAGTTTGAACCCTAAGACTTAACACTATTTTCAAATCCCATTAGAGAAAAACTT